CACACAAAGACATCAGTTAAAGGAAGAAGCACCCTACCTCATCAATGGCGCAGTTGTAGTACTTCCACTTGTCTTTGTTTGCGTTGACGCCATCCTGCAAGACCCTCCCCTGCTTCTGCAGCTGTAGCTCGATGGCCTTCAAGTGGTTGATGAGTTGGTCGGACATCTCAAGGGGCTTCAAGCGAAACGCCAGGTCCCTTCAGGTTTTGCCCCCAAAATGGAACTGGAGAGAATTCAGGTGGATAACTAGATTTGTTGACAGGTAATTGGATGAAAGTTGGAAAACTTTAAGTGGCATCAGTTTGAGAAGCAATATGAAAATGTCTCGTTCAGTACTCGCATTGAGTTGAAGTGTGTGTGTGTGTGTGCGTGTGTGTGGATTTACCAGGCCTGCAAGTCCCCGCATCTCGAAGGCATTTTGTGATCAGGCTCTTGGCTCGGTCGATCGGGGTCTCGGTCTTGACCTGCTTGCTTCCATTTTCGCCCTCCTGACCAGTTTGGGTTTTGGTTTTGCCTTGGGCTTGGCACCGCCAGGCTTCCCATCAATCCCCATAAAGCTCATTGCCTTCTGCATTCCACTGGATTGACCAAGTTCCCCTGCAGCTGACAAAGTCTTTGGATCGAGGCACCCACCAGCTTCAGTGAAAGCAGCGAGCATTTCTTGACTGACATTCCCTTTTGCCTCTAGGCTTGTAATCCTTTTGAGTTCGTTGACGTTGGTGATGTCGATGTCAACCAAGCAAAAGTACAAGTGGTCCTCTTGATCTTCCGGGTCTGCAATGTAAAGCCCAAGCTTGTTTTTCCGCTCAAGGATCCTGTTGGCCTTGGTATCCCCATATTTTTCTTTCATCCATCGCTCAGAGCGAAATCCATACTTCATCTTGCTTGCTGTGGACTCACTCAGGGATTGCTGGTAACGGCAAACAATTTGGTCTATGTCCCCACCCGCTTTGACGTAGTCTTGAAACAACTTGGCCTTTCCTTCTTCAGTGTTGAGCCTGGATGCCAGAACCTCGGGGAAGCGTTTTGTGTTTTTGACCCACCTTTTGTACCTCAAGTACTGCTTGTGGTGGGTGCTGGAGTTGATCTTAACAAGGGCTGTGGTGTCTTCGTTGCCATCAATCAACTTTTTCTCCGCAGGAACCAGCTTTTTGTTGTCACTGTCCGCCTGGCTGTCTTCAGGCTTGCCACTTGCCCCTGTCTCCTCATGTTTTTTGGCTTCCTTCCCCTTCTTCTTGTTTGCCTCGCCCTTCTCTTCCTTCTTCTCTTCTTTCTTCGCTTCCTTCTTCTCTTCCCTCTTCGCTTCCTTCTTCTCTTCCCTCTTCGCTTCCTTCTTCTCTTCCCTCTTCGCTTCCTTCTTCGCTTCCTTCTTCGCTTCCTTCTTCGCTTCCTTCATCTCTTCCCTCTTCGCTTCCTTCTTCGCTTCCTTCTTCGCTTCCTTCTTCGCTTCCTTCTTCGCTTCCTTCATCTCTTCCTTCTTCTCTTCCTTCTTCACTTCCTTCTTCGCTCCCTTCTCTTCCTTCTTCTCTTCCTTCTTCGCTTCCTTCTTCTCTTCCCTCTTCCCTTCCTTTTTGGCTTCCTTTTTGCCTTCGCCTGACCTGCCTTTCTCTTTCTTGGTCTTCGCCTTGTGCTGGCCGACCGTGTCATCTCCTGTTGAATCGCACCTCGCCTCCTTCTTCGTCGTTCCTTCCTGACCAAAGCTTTTCTTATCCTCCTTTGCCTGGTCCTGCTTTTCCTTGATCTCACAGTCCTTCTCATCCTTCACGCTCTCCTTTTTCTTCGAGCTGCCCTTGCTCTCTTCCTTGCTCTTCGTGCCCTTCGTTGGTTTGTCCTCTGCATTCTTGCTTTCCTGTTCTCCTTTGGCACTTCGCTTCTCTTCCTCGCTCTCCTCTTCCTTCTTTGCCTTGCCCTTCTCTTCCTTCTTCGCCTTGCCCTTCTCTTCCTTCTTCGCCTTGCCCTTCTCTTCCTTCCTTGAACTGGCCTTCTCTTCATCTCTTGTCTTCTTCTCCTTCGTTTTTGGTGCTTCCTTTGTCTCCTCTTCTGACTCCTCTTCCTGTCCTTCCTCCTCTTCTTCATCTGTTGTCGCCATGCCCTCCGTGTCGGAAGAGTCAGTCTCATTGCTGTCCTCCTCAGTTGCTGCCTCATCCTCATCTCCGCCTTCTTGTTCTGATCCTGATCCCTCTTCCTGTTGTTCCTCCTCATCGGTCTTTTCCTCCTCGCCCCCATCTTCACCCTCTTCTTCCTTTTCCTCACCTTCTTCTTCTTCTTTTTCCTCTTCTTCATTTTCCTCTTCCTCTTCTTCTTCTTCCTGATCCTCAGAATCCTCAGACCCCTCAGACCCAGACTCCTCGCACTCAGACTCCTCGCGTTGGCCTGCTGAAGAAGCCGATTCGGTGTCGGACGCCACCGACGCAGGAGCCTTCATCTGCCTAATGAGTTCTTCTGCCTGGGCATCTGTCATAGGCGGCTCCTCGGCAGGGGCAGCCTTAGGCTGGCGTGAAGGGTTCTCGGGCTTGTTCTTCTTCGCGTGGTCTTCATCAACAAAGGTCAGCCTTCTTTTCTTGCTCAACCCTTTTGTAGGCTTCTTTGTGCTTGATGCCTTTTACGGCTGAAGCCATTGCAGTCAATCATGTACGTGGGAAACAGTGAAACCAGCACAGGCATCAGATGCATCGGGGACCGCATGTGTTGGAAACTTTGCAGCCGAGCTTCTTCCCCATTCTTCAAGATGGACTTTGGGACCTCCTGGGATTCCCTTTCTTTGATCTGCCGGGCTGCCTTCTTCAGCTTATCCGCTTTGGGTGATGCTTTCATGGCAGCCGAAGCAGGGGTTTTGCCAAAACACCGCCTTAAATGCATTGCTGTCCCTATAAGGAAGCCGAGATGCCATCCGTGAAAGTTCAACATGATCACAACAATCAACATGAGTCAACATGATCACATGCACTCATCCCGACCACAGTCACGCAGAAGTACAACCCATGAGTCAACATGATCACACGCACTCATATCAACATGATCGATCACATTTTGCGAGTCAACATAATCACACGCACTCTTCCCTGACCACATACACTCATCAATCGCACAGCCGGACCTTCCCACATTCTTTTGCAAGACACCTGTGTGCGTGCGCTAGGCTGGCCGGAATCTCCCACAGGAATTCCCTGCAAGCATTCTTTCCGCGAGGTCCCTCCATGCAAAGTGGCCTCATGAGTTCTTTCAAGAGTTGCAGAGTTCCTTAGGCTCAGAATCTTAAAGCTGAAAGGTGTTCCCGAAGCCAATTGATTCTGGCCTGCCACCCTGTTTATCAGAGCCCTTGTAGGTAGCCAGATTGCCCCAATCAGCATGGTTTGACTGATGCCCTCCAGGTTTTCCAAATCCACCTTGCCACACTTTACGGTTTCCACAAATTCCAAACCCGCTACCACCTGGAGCTTTCCGTTAAAGGGCATCCAGTTCCCCACATATGGACATATCCCCCCTTTCTGGGTCAGCCTGTTTCCAGCAAATCTGCAAGGTTGTTGAGAGGAAACCATGCATCTTCAAGCATTTTCTGGATAACCATCAATTTGAAGGTCCCTCTTTCCAAAAATATTGCGGGTTTCTGGGGCCAACCCTCTCCCCCAAAAAAATCTGAGCAAAATTAAGTGAAATCACGGCACCCCAAGAAACCAATAAAATTATCGGTTTTTATCGGGTTTTTATCGGATTTTTATCGGTTTATCGGGTTTTCAAAATCCCTGGAAAATTCATGGGGAGTCTCACTTTTCCTTCAAAAGCTCTTGGCTTCCTTCCAGGGAACCCTCTGTGGGCAGCCCAGCCATGAATTAGCCCCCTTTGGGCCCGCAGCCCCTAACATACACTGAGCTCCTTCACCACCTGCCGCAGGTCCGCCAGCTTTACAAAGCCCGGGTCCTGCAGGCAGCACTGCAAAGGAGCCCGGGGGCCGGAGTGGGGAGGAGATTCCGGACCAAATATAGGCAAACAAGCAAAACCGGGAACATAGAAACCGAGAAACCGATAAACCGATAATAAACCGATAAACCGAGAAACCGAGAAACCGATAAACCGATAAACCGAGAAACCGATAAACCGAGAAACCGATAAACCGAGAAACCGATAAACCGAGAAACCGATACTGTAAACCGATAAACCGAGAAACCGATAAACCGATAAACCGATAAACCGAGAAACCGATAAACCGAGAAACCGATAAACCGAGAAACCGATAAACCGAGAAACCGAGAAACCGAGAAACCGAGAAACCGAGAAACCGAGAAACCGATAAACCGATAAACCGAGAAACCGATAAACCGAGAAACCGATAAACCGATAAACCAAGGAGCCGACAAACCGATAAACCGAGAACTAAGAGAGGTGAAGTGACCGCAAGGGTCACTTTCAACAAGTGGCCTACAAGTGGCGGGAGGGTCTTAAAAAGACCTTCCCAGGCCGCTTGTTGAAAGTGACCCATTGTGGTCACTTGACCTCTCTTGGAAACCGAGAAACCGAGAAAGCGAGAAACCGAGAAGCTGGAAGCAGGCTGCTGTTAGATTTAGAATTCTTACACGACGGAGCCGTCCTTGACATCCTTCTTCCCCTTCTTCAGCAGGTTCATCTTGGTCTGCTCCACGTTCTCCTTGATCTTCTCATAGTTCTGGAGGAACAGCTCCGTGATGGCAGTCCCGAAGCGTTGCGGGTAGTGCTGGCTCTGCTTGAGACCACTGGACCCGCTTACCCTGGAGACCCCGTTGGTATCCACATACCTGCACTCATAGTCGGACCACTACATGGACATGCCCCTCAATTTTGCTGGCGCAATTTTGTTAATGGCAGGCCTGCGCACCATGTCTGCTGGCCAATTACGATCCTTCGGTAGTGGGGTGTAGAGCTGCTGGATGAAAGCGTAATTCGAATAAAGGAGTGTTGGCTTTGGACCTCAACTTGAACCCTTCAAGGACACACCAACACTTGCAACCCACCAGAGAGGTTGGTGATCAATACTGGATAAAGGCCAAGCCGCAGCCTCCTCCATATGAGCCCATCCAAACAAAAGCCTCAGAGCGGAGGCTAAGTGGGAGCCACCAAAAACAATTATTTTGGGTGTGTCTCAAACCGCGATGAAAATGTGTGTAATTCCCAAGCGCTGGCCTGATTCTGGTTCCTACATTTTGAGGCAATGCCTCGGGGATGGCATGTAGGAAGACTGTAACCCCACCAAGTGTGCCAAGACACCTTGTATACGGTACACTGCTTGGAAAGCCACTCGAAGCACACGTGCTTCTCCAACAGCGATGAAGCTGGCTGCTCTATGCACCAGCATAGACCGAGGGTCGACAGGATATACAGGTAAATGCAGGTGCGGGCCACCATGGTGTTCCTTAGATGACACATGGGTTCGCATCTTCAACGCAAACCCCTTTTTAGCGATGAGCTCAAGCCGGATTCAACAACGATACCCTGGAAGGTTTCAACGACCGGTGAAGTTGTCTTTGCAACCCAATAACGAGTAGCCTAAAGTTGTTTTGCAACCCCATAAAAAAGTGTTCCAGGCCACTTTCTGAAAATAGGCCCCCTTTCCAAAGGCTTAGAGCTACACAGTTTGCAACTGTTAAACTGCAAGCACTTCTTGTTTGCCTTTCGAAGGTCGGCCCATGAGACCGTGAGATGCCAGCTAGCTAGCACAGCATCCAGGTATCCAGGTATGCACTGGAGGAGACACTTCAAGGGCACATCAACTCACAAACGGTTTTAGAGGTGCTTAATGTCAAACATCAAAGTCTCTTTTGCATGGGTGCCCTCAAGTGTGATTGCAGCGTGGCTTTCACGCACGCTTAGCTAAACCCATCGCATCGGCAGCCAGCGCCCATGCAGTCAAAACGTCAGGCTTCCAGACAATCCTTGGGTGATGCAGCCGGGTTTGAAACCCCATGCATTCATTGCTCTTGATCATGTGTGTTTCAGCCAGGCAAACGTTGAGACAAGGGGCGCTTTCATGCTGATTGCAGTGCCACTAGTCGTGGCCTTAGGCTTGAAAGCCTTTGCCCGAAGAAGCACTTCCAGCTTAGCGCCAGTCTCCAGCCGCCTTGGCCGCAGGAGCTTGGACTACCCGGTGTCACTTCTCACGCAGGCGTGCCACCCATGTGCAGCTGTGGGGCACAGTGAAGGAGTGCTTGCCATGCTTGGTGTTCTGGGGGAACAACTCGGCAGGAAGGGCTCGGATCGCAGCACGGTATTCCTCATCAAAAGAGTTCAGGATCTCCTCCTTGTCAGTCTCAATGTTGGGTGCTGCACCGGCTCCTGGGATGGGAGCAAGACACGGACTGTTTAAGTGTCTACGCTTGTATAAAACCAATGTGTTGGTGTTGTGTAGAAATACAAATGCACGTGTATATATACAAACCATCAAATCTGTATGTGCATGTTCAAGTTCAAAGGAACGGGCGCAATTGTAAAGTTGAGGATGTTGTAAAGTTGAGGATGGAACAAACTGGTTTCTTTCACCACTGGGCATCTTGGCATGAAGCAATGTACTGGTCCCCACGTTCATGCAAGGGCTTAATGAGACAACACTTTGAAAAACGCCATAGCGCAAGTGGAAAGGTTGGCCAGAATGGTCCTGCGTTTTTCTTGGCCTTCTTCTTGGAAGTCTTGTTCTGGCTCTTCTTCCGCTTGGGGCGGCCTGCATTCTGCAACTCGTTTGTGAGCCCGCTGAACCCCCATTAAGGATCCCTATACGGGCGGTTCCCCTACACCAAACACATGGCCCCAACAACTACCCTGAGATTTCATAGGACAGAGGTTTGGCCAACGCACTGTGAGACTTTCAGTGGGTTTGCATGTCACTGTTTGGTGTGGCAGGCGCTACCTGGCCTTCGTGCGGCTCAATCGGCGCCGGAGGACTGGCTTCCAGGGCTGCGACAGCTTGCGGATATTCTTCGGGCATTGTTGGGCAAATCCGTTGGTGGAACTCTCGGTTCTCCTCAAAGTCTGAGTCTTCATCAATGGTTTGCTTCATGAGGGAGATGGCCTCGGCATGAACTTGTCTGAAGACAGACCACATGAAAGTGTTGGATACCTTAATTGGAACCAACTTGCATCGTGAAGTTGAACTGAAACATAGTGCTGGGTGCCTTGGACTCAACTTGCATGAAGATAGACAACGTGACTTTGAACTGTGATGGAATGTTCAAAAAACTACAGGGAATCACATTTTTTGAGGGTTGCCCTATTTTCTGAGGGTTGCCCTATTTCCAAGTAGACTCATTTCATCAATCACTCAAATCTACCGTGGCTTCTTCCCCGAAGTGAACACAACACTTCTAGATAAGTTGTGAACCTATCTGTAGCCTTCATGATTGACAAACATAAGGCTCACGCTAGCCTAGGCGCCTTCTCAGCAATTGCAGGGTCATCGTCGCTGGACTCCTCCCCTTCTTCATCATCCGGCTGGCGGTTTCCGAGGGAGCTCACGGGGGAGATGTCCCCAAATAGTTCATCTTCTCGAGGATCTTCTTCATCTTCTTCTTCTTCTCCATCTTCCCCATCATCACACACAGCTCCATAGTCTTGACTTTCTTCTTCAGGGTTGCCCAGGTCTAGGGATGACTTCGCCCGTCTAATTCCAGCCTCCTTCTTTTGGTCATGATCGGTCACCTGCTCCTGGGCCCCCCATTCCAAGGTCTCCTGGTCACTCTCCACCCCTGGCTCATCCTCATCCAATGGCTGCGAGTCCTGCAGGAACCCCTTAACATTGTTTTTCTAAACCTTAACATTGTTTTTCTAAGAGGTTGTGACTCATGCAATCACATGCGCAGGATGTCCTCGCCACCCTTCTTGCTGAACTTCGCCTTCAAGGCCTGGATCCGCTCCGAAGCCGAGCTGGTAGGCGAGTTTCGCCAAAGGGCACGCAAGCCAGACCACAGCCTCCTCATGCTGAAAGCCATAGCGGCAATCTCTGTGCTCAATTCCTTAGTTGAACTACCCCAACTCAACTTTCAAATGAACCCTTTCTAGCGTAACACAACCTCAAAAGACTTCCTTTGTGAATAGCCCGTTGTTGGAATCGGCTTAGTGCGTTCTAGCGTCAGTGGATTCAGAGGCTCTGATGAAAAGGTTCCGGGAAAGGAGGTTCACGTGCTCAAGGATCAGGATGGACTCTTGCTTTGTAGGAGGCCGCGACTGGAAGGGCTCGTGGTCCAACAAAACTTCTAGAAACCACGCATTCCTTATCCTTGGCTGCGCAAAGCGGGCTTTTGAAGATTAAGGGTCATCACAAAGGAAACATTTCCCTGCTCGGTGGGTTCTAATTAATCATTGTTGGGCTCGCCATGCAAATGTTCGGCAAGGCTCACATCATCTTCCAGGGCGATGTCCAAGCGAGCAGTTTCGATGAGGCGCGCAAGTTGCGGCTCACCGACAGGCGTCGTCAGTTTCTCCTGCGGGTCATGTTGAAAGCATGTTGCATCAAAGGCGCAACTGTCTCATCTTGAGTCTTGGGCTTCATGGTGGGGGGGTCATTAGTTGTGGTTCATACTCACGGGTCCTGGAGATCAGAAGGAGCACCCAAATAGATCTTGGCCCCCACCTTGTGTAGCTTCAGGACGTAGAGCTCTTCGTTCGACAAAGGCATCCCCAGATCAAGACAGGAAGACCACGCCCCACGCAATCCCCAACTGACTTGACTTCAATGGCAGCATTTCAAGGCATGAGGACATGCCCGCCCCAGAAGTTCAAGCTTTCTGTGTAGTGCCTTGCGAGATGTTTCATTCCAGCGCACACTTGGATGTAAGTCGGTGATGCGGTACTAAGTCGCACGATGTCGCTTGAAACAAAGTGCAAGATGATAGTTAACAAAGGATTGCCCCAATTATCTTTGCCAAGTCTCGCAGCTTTGACCTGGCCAACCCGCTCGTCTCCCATCGGTTTTTCCGCAGATCGACAGCTTGTTGATCTGAGAACGGGCGCAGCCGCGCGGTGGCCAACGGGGTGGGCTCGAAAACACAATCAAACAAGTCAGCGGTGTGTTCTCTTTTGGGGCCAAACTGCACACTGTCTGAAAGGGTTGGCATGGAGCCTCACACCTTTTACTTTTGGGGCGCCGAAGAAAAGTCAATGCAAGTCTCACTTTGCAAACGCAGATGGTACAAGAAAGCCGGGCCCGGCCTGTTCAGCCAAATCCATGTGCTGCAGACTGGGGCTTCAAAATTGAAGCCCCGCTTAGATGGCAGAAGCTTCCACAAAGGCAGCCGGCATGGCAAACTCATTGTTGCATTTGCCATGGGGGTTCCCTGAAACTGCCACACAAACAATGCAATCAAGTAACGCTCTTGTAGAGCCGCAAGGTCAGTGCCAGGCCATAGGCAAAGCCCAGTCCAGTTAGGATATTCTGAAAAACCCCGTCATCCTGAACTTCGAAGCTGGCTGAGGTGAATCCAAATTTCCTTGGATGGAAGCTGAAGCCGGGATGGAAGCAAGACTTGCATGGGCGCATGTAGCAACTCACACGCAGCACCTTCCCCGCCAAGAGTCGCAAAGGCAGTTGCAATGGTTTTGACGCCCGCGTACTTCTCGACCGCCATCAAGGCCTCATTGTTCCATAGATTTGTTCCGTTTAGGTGAAGGCGCCTCCTTTTAGCAGCATGCTGTAGATCAAAACGAAATGACAGCACACCAGTAACTGTTCTGAAACTTGTTCTCAAAGAACATACTGTCACATGCCTAAGCCATCAAATGTTTACACACAACACGCCTAAACATGCTCATCAGCTATTCTCAACAAACATGCAACCACGCCCCTGGATAGTCAGGAAAGGCACCAAGTCGGGCCGCGTCATGTGCTGCATAACCTGCTCAGTGATCGAGAGGATGGAAAAGGGAGCGCCGCCAAGAACCAGCAAACGCAGCCTCACGCGTCATGGGATTTAAGGTGGGGAACCAGGTCCCAAAATGCAGTAGAAGATAGTGAGTCCGCTGCACTTTAGACTCCAACTATTTTCGCTTAGCCTGAAGCCAGTCAAGGGACACCAGCTGCATGCAGGGATGCAGATTGTTGGCAGGACTGAAAGGGATATTTCGTAGAATCTCCTTCTTCTTCTTGCCCGTACAATGTTTGGCTTTGCGACCCAGGTTTGTCTTGTTCTTGAGCTTCTCAAGCTTCACAACACCCATGTCTAACGCGCACCCCGCGGAAGCCCCAGACCCCAAAACCAAAATGGCTAAAGATCAGCGGCGCGTCACAAGCCATGCTTGACATGCATCTCAGATCTGTCATGGCACTGACCTGACCACCTTTGCTCCCCTAACCTTTGTTCTTGGTGCGAACATGGGACAGACGCAGGCAAAAGGGAGGGAGGCACCTTGCTGCAGCAACGCTGGCCGCCAAGCTGGCCATTCCACCGCCATTGCAGCACGCGTTGGCAAGTTTTGCCGGAGAGTATGTTTGAGATGGGGGAACTCCAAAATCTGTGTATATATTTATATATGTCTAGGTATACTATCTAAACTACAAACTCTAAACGTAGACACATACACGTATATATATATATATACATACATCTTCACATGTTGACACGTGTACAGATACATGTACGGAGAAATAGGCAAGTAGAAATAAACATGCAAATATGTAGATACACATGTATGTTTTCCTCAAAGATGCATTACCCACCTTGCGGGCCTTTGCCCGCCTTTGAAAGAAGCGGGCGCCGCGCCCGCAGACCTGAATCCAATAGGATATCCCTCAAGCTCCTCCCCCCATAAAAAAAAAGGCACAGAACAATTTGTCAAGCTCCTCCCCTCCCCTACGCAAAAATGGCAAATAGCACAAACAAAAAAACAACACACAGACACGGAGACACACACACACACAAAAGCAGACATAAAGACACAGACAGAGACACACACACACACAGACACACGCACACACACAAACCCACACACACAAACACACACACACACACACAGACATGCACAGACATGCCCGGACACACAGACACACAAACACACAGACACAAACAAACCCTGAGTCATACACCGTAGTTGCTGCCAAACAAACACGCCGAGCAAAACAAGGTGGGCATAAGAAACTGTTCAATGTTGTTTTCTTGGCTCAATCATGTAACTTGGCATCTTTGGAGGTGCAGCCACACCCCCAGCATCACCAGCAAGCGTGCCTGGAAGTGGTCTTACACCGTTTTTCCCTTTCATACAGGGCAAAGGGAAAAATGCTCAGACCCTAAATTGGGTCAGCATCACCACCAACACCGCCAGCATCACCAGCACCACCCAGCATCACCAGCATGCGTGCCTCCTCGAACCGGCTGCGGCTGTCTTCAAGCTTTGGAGGTGCAGTCTCTTAAAGCTCATGATAGGCAGGTACGTCACTTGGCGTCCTATGGCCGCAAGTTTCAGAGGTGGCTTGCGCGCAGCCGACTATGACGCATCCCTCATATACATATATAGCGTTATAACGAACATGTCGTGAGCCTGTGAAGTTGTCGTAAGAGTGACATGCCTGAGCATACGACAACTTGGGTTTACGAAGTTGCCATTTTAGCAACTTCGGGCGGTCTAGGTACTCTCTAAGGACATCCCCAAGCCGGAAACCACGATAAGGTTCATCAAGTACAGCGAGAGCAGCTTCATGCAGGCGTGTGTCGATAGATACATTGAGCTGTGTCAGGGAAAGTACCCGAAGAAGCTGCAGAAGGTTGAAACTCCGTTCCTGGACGAGAGCAAGCCGGAGTTTGACGAGAATTCCGTCAATCCTGAATTTGACAAACTCTTCAACCAGGCGATGGACATGGAGACCGTCAATGCGCAGCCAGGATGCCTCGGAAATGACGCGGCGGCGGTGCTGATGAAGGTTCTCTACGGGGCTCGGATGGGCAGGTATGACCTGATTCGTCCCGTGCAGGCGTTAGCCAGCCGGGTTACGAAGTGGAATCATCTGTGTGACCGCAAGCTCCACAGGTTAATTTCATATGTGAACTCTACGCTCGACCTTCATTTGTACGGTTGGGTGGGCGATAGCCCGGAGTTCATTGAGTTGGTTGCTTACTGTGATGCGGATCTGGCTGGGGATCGAACTGATTCCAAGAGCACGTCGGGAGTGCTCATTTGCCTTGTGGGTCCTAGGACCTACATGCCCATCACTGGAGTAAGCAAGAAACAGACTTCCGTTTCGAAGTCAACTCCTGAAGCAGAGATTGTTGCTCTCGACCATGGAGTGTCCAAGGAGGGAATGGCGTTAGCTACCCTCTGGCAGCACGCAATTGGGAAAGGAAAGGAGACCCAGCCGTTTATTATCAACGTGCTGGAGGATAACGAATCGGCGTGCCGGATCGTTATAACTGGGAATAATCCCAACATGCGCTATATGTCAAGGACGCAGCGCATTGACATCTCGTGGCTCAACGAACGTTTTAATGGATGGAATTTTTCGGTTCGTTGCGTGCCCGTCTCACTACCAAGGTGCAGACATTTTCACTAAGGCCTGCATTGACAAGGTCGTGTGGAATAGAAATCTGCACACCCTTGGTATGTTCCTGCCGGGATACCTGCAGGAATATTTGGCCCAACCCACCCAACCCTGTCTTAAGCCCCCTGCCGCTCCTGGACTGCCCCCGCTTGGGGGGTACGCATGGAATCAGGTGCAAAATCCGGTTTCAATCGGCTCATTGAGAGGTTACTCTCTGAGTACGAGGGAATCGTGATTGACGAGGAAAAAGGGGGGAAAAGATGCGAGAAAACTATTATTGCGGATCAGGCGATAGCCGATGTTCTTGCTTATAGTGATCTTTGCAGGGTTGTCACGCTTCAAGTTGCTCCTGGTTACAGGAATCACATCATACGGTCTGGTAGGATTGAAGGCGATAGCCTTTGTTATGTTGTGCTTGTTCTTAATGATCTTGCACCCGATAGGGTTGATTCCAGGACTGGGAAGTGGGGACAGACCAGAAAGCTTAGGGATAGGACCGATGCTGCCGTTAGGCAAAGGTTCAACTTGGCTTGTGATGCTCGGACCAGTGGATGTGTTCCGATCATTCTCTATCGACCTAAATGCAATATCTTGAAGGAAGGTGAGGTTGAAGGAATCGCTACCACGCATGGGTTCGATTGCAGGTCTGTTTGCGCTTGCCAATGTGGTCTCAAGAGACATGGGGTCGTGTTTAGGTGCTTCTCTTCTAAGTCTTTCAATTCGTTTTGGAGTACTTGCAAGATGCGAGGAGGGGATACTCTCTCTCAGCACGACCGATTGCTTGCTGTTGGGAAGTGGTTGAACAACTTCGTTGCCGCGTAGCTCTTGCTTGATCAAGCTGGCTCACCTCGCGGGCAACCGCACCACATTCACAGGCGACTCAATGCGCTTACTGACCAGAACAAAAGCATGAGGCAGATATGCCTGTCACTAAGGTTTTCTTCTGCTTCGTGATGGACGGATTCAGTCAATTGTTCATCTTCTGGGTTCTTGTTCTAGGGAGAGGGTCTCTGGCCGATAGGCTGAGCCTTCTGAGGGACAGGGGACTGTGGCCGGTAGGCTGGGTTCCCGGTTCATCCGTGGTTCTGTGGCCGGTGGCCCGAACCTGCTGACGCATGGCGGCAGCTGGCGGAATGGGCCTGGGGCGCTGCATGGCGACGCCTCCGCGGCCGTCCTGGGACCTGGCGATGGGGCTGGGTATGGAGAAGCCGAAGGCTGTGGCCGGTTGTTTGCTTGCGGGATACCGCGAGTGGACGGTTAAGGGGTTTAAGGGACAGGATCCGAAGCTCACCACGATTGATCCAGATATGGAGAAGGCTGATCAGCTGATTGAGGATGACGATGCCGCAAGGTTCGACGAACTGGTTGGCAGAGTGTCCCACATCAGCAAGGACAAGCTCGACAAGTCCCACATGGCGGTGCCGGACCATGAAAAGCTGCTCCGGTACCGAGCGGTCAGGACTGCTGCGATAGTGGCGGAAATGAAGCGCCGGGGAGTGGAGGTCACGGAGATGAACGCCGTACAATTGGCGGCCATCTTGTGCGCTGCGGTTCCAACGGACCCTGCTTTCTTGCTTCCTTACCATGCTGCATTCGTGTTTGAGGAGAGCGTCGAGAGTGGCGTGAGTGCGCTACCCATGGATAGCAGTACGGAGCCGGCAGCTGAACCCTGCGGCGGGATGTGGGTGGGAGACCCAAAAGCCTGGCCGGAGTGGAAGACGGTTCATCAGCAGACGGCCTTGGTAAAGGCGGTCGCTGATCAGGCAGAGGCGGCATTCGGGGATCACCCTCTGTATAGCGGAGATGATTTCGGTGATGCGGAGCACCACTTCAAAGCGCTCCGTGCCTGGATGAGCGAGAGGCCGAACGCATTGTTCACTCCTCCGGAGGTGGTCGTTGACGCGATGATGCTGACGGAGGGGAGAAACAGGGAGGAGATCGTTAGATGTTCCTCGGGACGGAGGCTATCATCGGTCCCGTCGGTCAAAAGGTTCGCGTCGGCTGATAAGCCAGGAATGCGGGGGTACCTGCACGCGATGGGACAGATGTCAGGTGTGGTCACTTCCTTGCATGATGCCATCGACTGGGATCGCAGACAGGTGTTGAGGATCTCGCCTAAGAACCCGGCGAGTGCCACTGACTTGGAAATCGGCCCCGATGACGGATGGGCATTCTTCGACTTGGCCATCAACTTCAAGGGCCAGACGGATACCGAGAAGGTCCTTATCCATGGAACCTCGCAATCCTCATTGTGGAGCATCCTGGGTGGTATGCAGGTTACTGCGTCCACCGCGAGCGATGAGGCGGTAGGTGTATGGACATCCTTGAAGGCGGTTGAGGCCCTGGGGTACAGCACTCTGTCGC